GTTCAAGGCCCGGAAGAGAAAAAAAAAAAAAAAAAAAAAAAAAAAAAAAAAAAACCCTATTGATTAGATTTCATCTATATGCCAAGCAAAGTTCTAAAGTCTGCCTTTTTTCTTTTTCTCAGAGACAGGGTCTGACACTCCATATAACCGTACTGGTCTGTTACTATGTAAACTAGCCTGGCCTCAAAGTCACAAAAACCTGCCTGCCCCTTTCTCCAAAGTGCTGGGATCAAAGGCATGTGCCACCATGCTTAGCTACATGGGTATTTTTCAAGAATAAAACATGATTGAGAAAGATATCAAGAAATTGTCCTACCTGTGAGGTAAAGGTCAGCCTCTACTCCTTGCAGAACACTGCTCCCAGAACCAGCACACAGGGCCACAACTTTGACTGGGGACCCTTCAAGATAAAGTCAACAAAAGATATCATATAGAGACTTTATAACCCTTTCAGTTTAGTACAATTTGTACTAAGAATCCTAAACCTAATGAGGATTTTACACTGGTATTTTCACCAGTGTATGCATTATGGCTGTTTGTTTTAAAAACAGGCATGGTGGCCAGGCATGGTAGCACATGCCTTTAATCCTAGCACCTGGGAGGCAGAGACAGGCAGATCTCTATGAGATCAAGGCTAGCTGGGTCTACTTAGTGAGTTCCAGGCCAACAGAGGCTACAGGAAGACCCTGCCTCAAAAAAAAAAAAACCAAAAAATTTAATAAAAGCAGACATGATGGCACATGCCTATAATCCCACCATTTGGAAGGCTCAGGCAGGAGGATCACCAGTTTGAGGCCAGCCCTTATAAGAACTTGATCAGAACTAGTGATCCTCCTGGCTGTGCCTCACTCATGATCCTCCTGCCTCAGCTCCACAAGTGCTCAGATTACAGGCATGAGCCATCATGACTAGTTCCAAAAAAGTTACTTAATACAGGCAAACAGATTCACCTTTGGAACTGCAGAGATCATAAGGCAAGGATATCATTCCTTCAAATGCAGCTGCACAAACCCACAAACCTCTGAGTAATAGTAATGCTGCAGCTCTGGGCTTTACCACTGTGCTACTAAGGAAAATCACCTGGGTTCAGACAATGGTGAGAGGTAAATACTATCTCTAGTCCCAGGTGAGAGGCCTGAGGAACTAAAACAGGCAAGTTATTATATAAAGAGGACTACTACAAGTGGATTGGGCACTCCCTTTTTTTAAGATTTACTATGTGTAAGAGTGTTTTGCATGCATGTATGTATGTACACTACATGCATGCCTGGTGTCCAAGGAGGCCAGAAGAGTGTGTTGGATCTTCTGGAACTGGAGTTACAGGCAGTTATGAGCTGCTTGATGTGGGTGATGGGAACTGAACTCAGGTCCTCCACAATAGCAGCAACTGCTCTTAACTGCTAAGCCATCTCTCCAGCCCCCCAGGTTTTTGTTGTTTTTGTTTTGTTTTTGACACTGGGTCTTGCTTTCTAGCCCAGGCTGATAACTTGTAAACCTTCTACCGCTCTACCTCTCAAGTGTTGGAGCACAATCTTCTTTGAGGGGGAAGAGGATCAGGGTCTCATGTAGCCCAGGCTGGCCTAGAACTTGCCACATAGCTGAGAGTGACTTTAAACTTCTAATCCTCCAGCCTTCACCTCCTGAGTGCAAGGATCACAAGCATGAGCCCCTATGCCTCGTTTATCTGGTGCTGGGGATTGAACCCAGGGCTTGTGCACACTAAGCGAACTATCAACTTAGCCACATCCCTAGGCCCATGAAGCTAAATTTCTTTTTTAATTATTTTTATTTTATGTTTCTGAGTGCTTTTGCCTGTAAGTGCATGCAATGCACACAGAGGCCAGAAAAGGGCATCAGATCCCCTGGAACTGGAGTTACAGACAATGCTTAGACACCATGTGGGTGCTGGGAATTGAACCCAGGTCCTCTGCAAGAGCAGTCAGTGCTCTTAACCACTGAGCCATCTTTCCAGGCCTCAAAAATTTTAATACAATATTTATCCTCAAAGCATAAACTTAGCCGGGTGGTGGTGCAGGCCTTTAATCCCAGCACTCAGGAGGGAGGCAGAGGCAGGCAGACCTCTGTGAATTCAAGGCCAGCCTGGTCTACATAGTGAGTTCCAGGCCAGCTGGGGCTATTGGGAGACCCTGTCTCAAAAAAACAAACAAACAAAAAAAAAGTATAAATTCTTCAGGTTAAGAGCACTGGCTGCTCTTCCAGGGAACCTGGGTTTGGATCCTAGCACCCACCTGGCAACTAACAACCATCCATAACTCCAGTTTCAGAGGATCTGATGCCCTCTTCTGGCCTCTGCAGGCACTGTATGCATGTGGTGCACATACATACAGGCAAAACATTCATACACATAAAATTTAGCTTGATGTGGTGGCACATGCCCTTAATCCCAGCACTTGGGAGGCAGAAGCAGGCATATATCTGTCATTCAAGGCCAGATATTCAGGCCAGCTGGGACTACAGGGAGACCCTGTATCAAAAAGACCAATAAGTTAGTTAATTAATTAATTAATTAAAAAATAAAATTTAGTCAGGTGTGGTCTTTAATCCCAGCACTTGGGAGGCAGAGCCAGGCAGACCTGAGTTCAAGGCCAGCCTGGTCTACATAGTGAGTTCCAGGCCAGCTGGGGCTACAGGGAAATGTTGTCTCAAAAAGACCAAAAAAAATAAATAAATAAGGGACTGGACAGATGGTTCAGCAATTAAGAGCACTGGCTGCTCTTACAGAGCACCTGGGTTTGATTCCCAGCACCCATGTGGTGCCTAACAACCATCCTAACTCTAGTTCCAGATGATCTGATGCCCTCTTCTCACCTCTGTGGACATTGCATGACACAGGTGCACTTACATGTAAGCAATACATAAAATAAAAATAATAATTTAAAAAGTATAACCTCTGATAAGTGAAATAACCAACTTTGAAGCTAAAATCCAAAATTTCATTCTTAGTTTTTTTTTTTGGAGTATTTTTGAGGCAGGGTCTCCCTGTAGCCACAGCTGGCCTGGATTCATTATGGAAAGGTGGCTGGCCTCGAACTCAGAAATCCACCTGCTTCTGCCTCCCAAGTACTGAGATTAAAGGCATCTGCCACCATACCCAGCTTATTCTTAGGTTTTTAATAGGAGTCAGTTCAGTCCATTTGCCCAAGATGGGGAGCTCCAGAGTGAGGTGAATATAAAATCTCACCACTGCTGCCCATTTTCTTTGAAAACTAACTCCCAAGAGCTGTTTCAGTTAGTCATCTCTGAACCTCTGTTTCTCACCTATAAAACAGGAGTGATAATACCTCCCCCAGGGTTTAACAGCTGGCATTCACTGTAAAGTGTGGCAGTCACTATATTGTGTCATACAGACCATTTGAACCATCCCTATGAGTCACTTAGGTTTTACTATTAATGTAGTTTTAAGAGATAAGAATACCAGGACACAGAGGAGTTAAATACCTTGTCACAGGAACATACCATATAGGTAGGAGAGATACATCTGAACCCAGGTTGTCTGACTTCAGAATTCATACTCATAAGTACTGTGCCCCCTGCTTTTGCAGTAGAACTCATACTGAGACAGGCCCTCGTTATATAGCACACCCAGCTGCAGCACTGCACTCACTACAGCTGTCTAACAAATGTCTCTTTCTGTTCCTCAAAGCACTAAGAAAAAACAGTAGCTATAAGGCTACAAGTAACTGTACTAGACCACGTAGTTTAGTAAAATCTTACTATAAAATATCACCAGCCTAGGGGCTGAGGATGTAACCCCTGGCAGGACTGCACTGATACCCTCCCTGGGTTGTATTGGGCAATGTGACATATTCTGGACAATCAGTTGAGCAGTAACATATCACTTCCACTCTGTGATTGAAGACCCTCTATTTCCTCTACAACAGTGACCAGTTACTAATTAGTACACTTCCCTGCAGACCTGAGATGAACATGGTAGGACTAGGAAATATATCCCATTGTTTAGTTCAGTGAGATATGTTCCAGTATAACCCAGCTCACTCTGGTTGATAAAAGTAAACCAATTATCTCCCTGAACTGCTAATCCATTCTATCACTTAGATTAACCAAAGCAATACACAGCTATAATCCCAGCACTTGAGAGAGACAAGAAAATCAGGAGTTTAAGGTCTGTGCTATATGACCCCTATGTCAAAAAAAAAGTAAGTAGGGGACTGGAGAGATGGCTCAGCAGTTAAGAGCACTGGCTTCTCTTTCAGAAGGCCTGAGTTTGATTCCCAACATCCATGTGGGGTGGCTCACAACCACCTGTAACTCCAGTTCAAGGGGACCTAACACTTTCTTCTGTGGACACTTGTGTACACACACGCACACACACACACACACACAAAGTAAATGAAGCCAGGCGTGGTGGCACATACCTTTAGTCCCAGCACTTGGGAGGCAGAGGCAGGCGGATCTCTTTGAGTTCAAGGCTAGCCTGGTCTACAAAGTGAGTTCCAGACCAGCTGGGGCTACAGGGAGACCCTGTCTCAAAAACCAGGGGATCTGGTGTCCTCTTCTTGCCTCCATGGGCAATAAAACCAAGAGTCTTAACTTTGTGCAAAGTTAGCAACAGGTATGTTGGGCAATGAAGAAGATGTATTTACCCAAGGTCTTTCCTATTCCAAGAGCTAAGCGAAGATGGGACAGTTTTAGGTGTCTTTTGATTCGCTCTATCATTGTTGCCAGGGAAACAGATTCATCCAGCGTACATAACCGTCCCATGCCAGTATGCAGAAGCAATGGCTGAAGGGAAACAAAAGTTCGAAACATTATTCATCATGAGTCCTAAGAACAATATATGTATAGAACAAACAGTAGAAGCAGAAATCAGGAAGATATACACACCAACCATAAGCTTACTATAGGAAGCTCCAGCTAAAGTCTGGAGCTATAAATCTAGCAAAAATATTCTGACTTCTGGGAGCTCACACCCTTCTAGATGTTTAACTAAATAATCAATGTCTTTAAATTCAAGATAGGTCCGATTGTTACAGGACCACAAAGAATTAACAAACTGGGGGCTGGAGAGATGACTCTGGTTAAACACACTGGCTGCTCTTGCAGAAGACTTGGGTTCAGTTCCCACCACCCACGTGGCAGCTAACAACAATCTGTGACTCCAGTTCCAGAGGAATCCGACACCCTCTTGTGACCTCCTTAGGCACTGCACATCATGGATGCACTTATATACATGAGGGCAATATACTCATACACTTAAATACTTTAAAAATTAAAAACAAAAAACTAGAGATGACTCAACTGGTAGAGTGCTTGCCTAGCATCCATGAGACCCTGGGTTCCATCCCCAGCACTAAATAAATTGGGCTTGATGGAATATGCCTGTAAGTCCAGTATTTGGGAGGTAGAGGCAGGAGGATCCAGTCAAGGTCACCCTCAGCTACACAGCATGTTGGGGGCCACCCAAACCTTGTCTTCCATCACTTGGGATACTTGTATTCTCAGTGGGCATCTACGGGGGGGATCGCCAGCCCCCAGTCCTTCCCTGTCACACACTTTGCACGGCAGCCCTACTAGCTTCTGCTACCACATCTGCCTTCACAGCATGCTCCCACTTTTGAGACCATATCTCAGAAAATAAAAGGAAAAGATATTTGTATATATTAGAAATACTTACAAATGGCAAATGTCCAAAAAGTAGTTGTAAATATGGATGTTTTGATTGTTTTTAAATCTTAGAGAGCATTTTGAGCCAGAAAGTAACACAATCATCAGTATGTGAATGGCTATCAAGTTAAAGGAGCAAATGAAATGGGGGATACTAATAAATATTCATGTCTAAAACCCCAAAGAAGTACCAGCACTTTCCTAGTCCAAAAATATCTCCTTTTTCAGTAAAATTTCCAACACAGCCATGTCCTCACCGTTACTTTTCTATTTGTGTGTGTGTGTCTGTCTGTCTGTCTGTCTGTCCATTGGGAGGGCTTCACATGTGAGGCAAACATAATATCACACCCCCAGCCCTCTCTGTATTGCTTTGAGCCATTCATATATATAGTACATATTTATATAGCTGGGCATGGTGGCATACACCTATAATCCCAAAACATGGAGATAGGAGCAGGTGGATCTGAGTTCAAGGCCAGCTTGGTCTACACAGCCAGTTCCAGGTCAGCCAAGGCTGTAATGTTTTCAATTTATTATTTGAGTATGTATTTGTGATGTGTGTGTGTGAGGGCACAAGCATGCCAATGGCTCCCATGTGGAGGCCCAAGGACAACTTCTGGAAGTCAGTTTTCTTCTTCCCTGGGTTCCATGGATCAAACTCAGGTTGCCAGCTTATACCACAAGCACTTTTACCTTCTGAGCCATCTCACTGACCCTTGATGATCTTTTGATTTAACAGGGTTTTTTTTTGGGGGGGGAGGTTCTTTTTGAGACAGGGTCTCCCTGTAGCCCCAGCTGTCCTGGAACTCACTATGTAGACCAGGCTGGCATTGAACTCACAGAGATCGGTCTGCCTCTGCCTCAGTGCTGGGATTAAAGGCGTGCGCCACCATGCCCAGCCTGATTTAACAGTTTACAAATGAATTTGCAGAACAAAAATGAGTAATGCAATTCACGAAAGTGTATACATTAAATATGTGAAGTTGTTTCTTTAGCAATTATACATCAATATAGCGGTTAAAAATGCACAGTAATGTAAGACCAAATATAAAATACTTATATTACCTTCTCCAGTGACAGAATTTCAGTTTTCTGATAAAGTTGATTGTTTTTGGAAAGGAAAGCCACCACCTGCATTAGAGCCTTCTGAGTGCAGTTCACACTGATCCGTGTTTGTTCCTCATCATCAAACCTAGGGAAAAAAAAAAATCACTTGCTAGATTAATATGAAACTAAAGATTTGACCAACAGAACTTGTTTAAACCCAAACCAATACATCTTCTAGAACACTTCTCAAACTATAGCATGCTGGGGCTGGAGAACTGGCTCAGCTGGCTTTGCCCAATAAACTCGTTAGGATTCTTTTTTTAAAAAAAAAAAAACAGAGCTAGTGGAAACCTTCATTATTTTATTTCACCAAAGTTGACTCCATGTTGGCAAATCCTTTGGTCTTTGATTTCTTATTCCTATTTTTCCCCCTTAAACTTCATTGCATATATATTTTTATGTAATCTGCTTCAAGTTATTTCTGGAAAAATGTGTTAAAAATTGCCTCTCTTTGGAATAATAAAAAAACTTGAGAAAATAGCATATTATATATAACAGCATATACAGAGTGTTTATTTTTCAGAAACCATATTCCCAGTCGATAGGAATAAAAACCTAAATCCGGGGCTGGAGAGATGGCTCAGCAGTTAAGAATCTCTGTCTGCGGCACTGCCCGACGCAGGTGCACTCATATACATGCAGGCAATACACTCATACACATAAAATAATAAATAAAATGTTTTTTAAAAAATTGCTTCTCTTTGGAATAGTAAAAAAATTAATAACATAAAAAAAACAAAAATAAGCTAAAATAAAATTTAAAAAAAAAGAGCACTGGCTACCCTTGCAGAAAACCCAGGTTATGTTCCCAGCAACCACATGGTGGCTAGCAATCATCCATAACTTCAGTTCTAAGGGATCTGCCTTTTTCCGACCTCCTCTGGCCTTACATGACACAAGTGCACTTACATACATGCAGGCAACCCAGATACACATACATAAAATTAAAAAAAAAAAAAATGTAGCATGCCAGAATCACCTGACATCTTAAAACTTCTACTTTCTCCAGGCTGGAGAGATAGCTCAGCAGTTAAGAATACTGGCTGTTCTTGCAGAGGACCTGGGTTTGAATCGTAGCACCCACATGGCAGCTAACAACTGTCTCTAACTCCAGTTCCAGGGGATCCAACAGTCTCTTCTGTCCTCTGGGCATATTGCATGACACAGGTGCACTTACCTACATGCAGGCAATACATGCATACACATAAAATAATAAAAATTGAAAAAAAAAAAAAAACTACTACTTTCTCAGCCAGGGTGGTGGCACGAACCTTTAATCCCAGCACTCAGAAAGCAGAGGCTGAGACAAGCAGAGCTCATATCTATGAGACTGAGGCCAGCCTGGTCTACATAGCTAGTCCCAGATCAGTTGGGGCTATAGGGAGATTCTATCTCAAAACGCCAAAATTTCTTTAAAAAAAAATGGGACTGGAGAGATGGCTCAGCAGAGGATCTAAGTTCAATTCCCAGCACCCACATGGCAGCTAACAACAGTCTGTAACTCCAGTTCCAGGGAATCCAATGCCCTCTTCTGACCTTTGAGGGCATTGTGCAACACGGGTGTACTTACATACATGAAGGCAATACACTCATACACTTAAAATAAAAATGAATAAAATATTTTCTTAAAAAAAGAAAGCCTTGTGCTTAGATACTTATTTCTAGACAGCAATGGGTGCAGTTACATACATTCAGGGAAAACACTTATACACATAAGATAAATTAATCAGAAAAAATGATTATCTGGCCAGGTATGGTAGCACAAGTCTGTAATGCCAGCACTTGGGAGGTAGAGACAAGATCAGGAGTTAGAAGCCCGCCTGGGTTACGAGACTCAGGCTGTCTCAAAAACAAACAAACAAAAAAGTTATCTAGATAGCACATTTATCAACATTGGAATCACATGAAGCTCTGAAAGAGAAAAAAAGCAATGCCTTGTTGCCAGTCTAATGGAGAAATCCACTATAATATGGAAAAACAAGTGAACTAAAAAGTCCAATAGTAATTAACTTTGTGAAGTTGTATATCCTGTGAGCTTTTAATCTCCTTTTCCACATTAATTATATCTAATAATAAATGCATAGAGCAATTAAATTGAAAAAAACATCTATCAGGAAGAGGAATATATAAAGAAATTACAGTGAAGATACAGCTTAGTGGTAGAGTGCTTGCCTAGCATACACAGTGCCCAGTACTTAAAGAAAAAAATATCAAGCTGCTTTACTAGGTGGTGCATGACCAGAATTCCAGCACTCAAAAGGCTGAAGAAAAAGGATCACAAGTTCAAGGACAGCCTGAACTATACAGCAGGATCTTATCTCAAAAAAAAAAAAAAAAAACAAAACAAAACTATATAACATAGTAAGTTGAAATAATACATAGCAAGTTAATTTATTTTTATGTGTATGAGTGTTACACCTGAATGTAAGTGCACCTGCATCACGCAGAGTGCCCACAGAGGACAGAACAGAGCATGAGATCCTCTGGAACAGGAGTTATGGACAGTCGTTAGCTGCCACGTGGGTACTGGGATTCAAACCAAGGTCGTCTATAAGAGCAGTCAGTGCTCTTAATGGCTGAGCCATCCCTCCAGCCCCAGTGGTTTCTGAGACAGGTCTCCCTGTAGCCCCAGCCAGCCTGGAACTTGCTATGTAGACCAGACTGGCCTCAATCTCAGGGATCTCCTGCCTCTGCCTCTCAAATACTGGGATTAAAGGTACATCATGCCTGGTTACCTATGTGTATTTTTAAACATTTATTTATTTTTTTTAATATTTTCTTATTTTATGTGTATAAGTGTACTGCCTACATGTATGTAAGTGCACCCATGTTGTGCAAAGCCTGTGGAGGCCAGAAGGGGGTGTGGGATTCCCTGGAGCTATGGACAGTTGTTAGCTACCATGTGTGCTAGGAATCGAACCCGGGTCCTCTGGAAGAACAGCAAGTGTTCTTAATCACTGAGCTATCTCTCCGGCTCCACATTTTTTTTTTAAGATTAAATCTTAAGAGAATTTCTTTATTTGCTTATTTTTATTTTATGTGTATGAGCATTTTGCCTACATGTCTGTATGTATACCACATGTGTATCTGGTACCCCAGAAGCCAGAAGAGGGCCTCAGATCCCCTGGAATTAGAGTTACAGATGGTTATTAGCTGTCATGTGGGTGCTTAGAACTGAACCCTGGTTTTTTAAAAAAATATTATTTTTTTAAATTTATGTGTACGAGTGTATTGCCTGCATTTAAGTGCATCTGTGTGGTACAAAGCCTGTGGGTCAGAAGAGGGTGTCAGATTCCCCTAGAACTGGAGTTATAGATGGTTCTTAACCAAGTGGATATTGGGAATTGAACCTGGTTCCTCTGCAAGAGTAGCCAGTGCTCTTAACCACTGAGCCATCTCTGCAGTCCCACTAAATAGCAATTTTAAAAATAGCTCTTAATATACGTAAATGGAAAAATCTCAGTGAGACATTATGGTGCATGGTTTTTTAAAATATTTTATTTATTATTTTATGTGTATGAGTGTATTGCCTGCATGTACGTGAGTGCATCCGTGTCGTGCAATGCCATGGAGGTCAGAAGGGGGCTTTGGATTCCCCTGGAACTGGAGTTAAGGACAGTTCGTAGCCACCATGTGGGTGCTGGGAATCAAACCTGGATCCTCTGCAAGAACAGTCAGTGCTCTTAACCACTGAGCCATCTCTCCAGCCCCTATGGTACATGTTTTTAATCCCAGCACTTGGAAAGCAGAGGTAGGCAGATCTCTGTAAGATCAAGGCCAGCCTGGTCTACATAGTGATGTTCCCATGCTGGGATGTGTACTATCCTTTCCCTAAGCCTTTCTGTTGGCATCCATGTTTAAATATGTGTTAAAATCTTTGTAATAAACTCCAACTCTGCTAAAAAGGAAAAAACAATAGAGCCAGTGTAGTGACACACTTGTTAACCCAGCACTTGGGAGGCAGAGGCAGGAGGATCATGAGTTTGAAGTCAACCTGGCTCTAACATTAAAACCCTGTCTCAAATAAAAACTAAAACTAAAACAAAACAAGAGAAGGAGCCAGTGAAGTGGCTCAGTGGGTAAAGGTGCTTTCTACCAAGTCTGAGGACCCCAGGAACCTACACAGAAGGTCAGAACTAACTCCCCTAAGTTGTCCTCTGATCTCCACATGCACACAATGGCACGCACATGCTTATACAAACACACAAAATAAATAAATGAGTGTAAAAATAAATAAAATTTAAAACCCAGAGAAATATATACACTATACCTAGCAGAAAAAGAAGTGACAGAAACATCTCCAATTCCTTTCAGTGCAGATGTGACTTTGTGCAGGTCTTGGGTGTGGTTAACACTGAATTCTACTCGGTGAGTTCCCTCTGTTGGGTAGTTGGGAGCTTTGGAAGGGTGTATGGGCCTGGAAGAACAAGTTCCTAGAGAAAAAAAAAATTGTGAGGAAATCAAGGTTTTTTTTGGTGTATTTTAAAACCAAAGAGATAAACTACTATAAGCAATTTTGGGGTTTTTTTTTGTTTTTTTTGGCGGGGGGGGGGGTCTTTTTGAGACAGGGTCTCCCTAGCCCCAACTGGCCTTGAACTCACAGAGATCCACCTGTGTCTGCCTCCCAAGTGCTGGAATTAAAGTGCTGGGATTAAAGTCAAGTGCCTCCACACCTGGCAGTATAAGGAAGTTCACAAGAACTATCTCTTGGAATTCATTGTCAAGTTTAGATATATGAACACATTCACTGCTAGTCCCCATAGTCTAAGGAATTGGTGGGGACATAAAAAAATCAAATTCATTTTCAGAATTATCCTTCGGAAGACACCTTGAACAAGACTGACTTGCTGATTTTTTTATAAAGTGACTGTCTACTGCTTGGTCAATCTATTCATGTAAAAGCACAGTATAGGTCACAATTTTTTTTTTTTTTTTTTTTTTGGTCTTTTTGTAACCGGGTCTTCCTGTAGCCCCATATGACTTGCAACTAAATATGTGGACCAGGGACGGCTGGCCTTGAATTCAGAGAGATCTGCCTGCCTCTCTGTCTCCCGCGGGCTGGGAGGCATGCACCACCACACCTTTCTTAGGTCACGAATATTAATAATCTGTTAAGCGCATTGAGACCATGTCATCATAAAAGCTTAAGCCCCAAATAAGCACTAAAATGTGTTAATTTGTTCACTGTGTTTGGCCTAAGTAAGCATTCAATGATATCTTGATGCTATGCTGGGTATGATGGGCATGCAAAAAAACCTTGAGTTTGAGGTCAGCCTGGAATACAAAATGAGACCCTGTCTGGGTCTGGAGGTGAGGGGGAACACAATGGAGCTGGTGAGATGGTTCATAGGTACAGTCATTTGCCTCATAAGCCTGATGAGTTTGAGTCCAGGAACCCACATGGTGAAAGGAGAGAACAAACTCCTGAAAGTTGTCCTCTGACTTCTCATGCATGCATCCTGGCACTCAACGCACCTGCATTCACACACACAAATAACTAAAATTCAAAACAAAAAAAAAGAAAAGAAAAAAATCTCGATGGCTATTCAACTAACATAACAAGCATATTCTGAAGAGGCCTGAGCTTTCATTTGAACAGTTTTGAGTGACTGGGGTGCTAGCACTGTGTCACGTGACTGAGGAATTGTGAACCTCAGTCTAGCAATGAAGATTTAGGTTCTTATACATTGAGAGGAACAGGTCATCATTCCCCATGTAGAGAGCTCAAGGACAGCCTGAGCTACATGAGATCCTGCCTCAAAAAGACCTGTCTATTTTTCTTTTTCTTTTTTGGGGGGTGAGGGAGAGGTTGGAAGGAGACAGTCTCACTATGTAGCCTAGGCTGGCCTCAAACTCAGTCTCCTGCCTTAGCTTCCTGAAAGCTCTGATTATAGGACTTTGTGTTAAAAGCTTATACCACAAAGCCTAATTACAATGTCATGTTTCTTTTTAATTTTTTTTATGTATATGAGCATATTACCTGCATGTATGTAAGTGCACTGGTGTCATGCAATCCTCACAGAGGTCAGAAGAGGGTATCAGATTCCCCAGTAACTGGAGTCATGGACAGTTGTTAGCTGCCATGTGGATGCTGGGAAGTGAATCTAGGTCCTCTACAAGAGCAGCAAGTGCTCTTAATCACTAGTCATTTCTCCAGCCCAACAATATTTCATTTTTCAAATGCAATTTAATTAACAGATTTCAGCAGTATTATTTTTATTTTTTTATTTTTTTGGTCTTTTTGAGACAGGGTCTCCCTGTAGCCCCAGCTGTCCTGGAACTCACAAAGATCCACCTGCCTCTGCCTCCCAAGTGCTGAGATCAAAGGTGCATGCCACCAAACCCAGTTCACTTTTTATTTTTACTTTAGGTATATGAGTATTTTGCCTGCATGTAAGTGCCCCCTTATGTGCAATGTCCATGGAGGTCAGAAGAGGACATTGGATTGCCTGGAACTTGAGTTAAGGATGGTTGTTAGCCACCATGTGGGTGCTGGGAACACAAACTGGGTCCTCTGCCAAGAGCAGCCAGTGCTCTTAATTGCTAAGCCATCTCTCCAGTCCCAAACAAGAAATACTATTTTTAATATAATATATAAAAATAGAATAAACTAGCTGGGCATGGTGATGCATGCCTTTAATCCCAGCACACAGAAGGCAGAGGCAGGTGGACCTCTGTGAGTTCAAGGCCAGCCTGGTCTTCATAGTGAGTTCCAAGACAGCTGGTTACAGGGAGACCTTGTCTCAAAAAGACCAAAAAAAAAAGAGAGAGAGAGAATAAACTATTGCCCCTATTATTAGGAAGACATTCTAAACTTTCAAAGTATTTGGGGAGATCATTAAATATGAAAGAACAAGAGGCTTCTCACCAAGTCCTTTGGCCAACCAGTTGTTGACACCTTGGGGTGCGGCGTCATAGGCTGTGTGAGGAGAGTAGATGCCAACTCTGTTCTCCAGTGCCCGGATCACCAGACGCTCTTTCCAGGTTTTCCAGGTTATATGTTTCATGGGTCGGAAAATAGGTGGGTGGTAGGAAAGAATGAGATCTGCCTTCTTTTGTAGAGCCTCCTCCATGACTGCCTCAGTCAAGTCATTGGTCAGGAAGAGTGTGTTTACAGTATGTGGAGGGCTTGGTTCTACCAGTAATCCCACATTGTCCCAACTCTCAGCAAACGAGAGGGATGCAAAGTCATTCAAGGAGGAAAGGAGAGCCTTCAGATCCATGAAGGAACGGGAAGAACTACAGATCCAGGATTGGGCAAGCCGCACTTTTGTGGGGACCAGGTGCACAGATAGCAACATAAAGAAGCCAGGTAAAACTGAAACAGGAAGAGGGAAGACATGTACACTGGGATGGTGAGGCTTCAAAGCATATTAGCAAAAAAGCTGTCACCACATAGACAAGTTTGAATAATGGCTCTGCCACTTTAGAGCACTTTGAGCTCAGCTGAGTCATTTACTTTCTCGTGTACAAAACAGATATACTACAACCTTCCTCACAGCCATTGAAAGAAGCAAATTGTTACTCTATGACCTGCAAAGCCTGACACAATATAAATGTTCATCCCCTCTTCTCCCACCCTCCCCACACCACTAATACTCTCCCCACCTTTGTTTCAACTCTCTACCCTCTTGGCTCTCAAAAACATTGCCCTTCCTAAGCCAGGCGCCCAGCACTTGAGAGGCAGAAGCAGGCAGAGCTCTGTGAGTTCGAGGCCAGCCTGGTCCACACAGCAAGTTCCAGAATAGCTGAGGCTACAGGGAGACCGTGTCTCAAAAATACAAAGAAACAAAAAATAACCCTTTCTTTCAAGCTTAAAATTCCCAAACAGAGCTTTACTTGACAGATCTTCCTTTTAGTGCCCTTCCTTCATATTCCTGGACTCAAATTCTTGTTTTATAATTCTGCTGATCTTCCTCCCTCCATAAGCTAAAGCTACTGGAGAATAGGAATTGCTGTTAATAAATTTTATCACCAGCATAGGCCAGCACTACAGACTGGACTTACTGTTCAGACCAGCCCAGTTTCCGTCCCCCAAGCAGCAGCTTCCTCCCTATGAAAGCAGAAACTGGAGTTAAGATGGTATAAGGTCATCCTCACATATGCAGTCAGTTCAAGGCCAGCCTGGGTTACATAAGACCCTGCCTCAAACAAACCAGGTTTAAAATAAGGGCTTAATCACAAGCAAGAAGTTAGACAACAAATTAGGGAAGGTAGATAAAAGGCCGTAATTTAGGGAATTAGTCCTACTGTCTCACTCTACCTTAGGGGCTGCTACATAATAAGAACTTAGCAGCATAGGGAAGGTACTAGATAGGTTATAAGACATGACACCTCCCCAATACAGAGGCACCTGTGATCTATCTAACACACACACACACACACACACACACACACACACACACACATATAGTGTGGTGCTGAATGTGTGATTTGAGAGAAAATAGATTTGAATGAAAGAGGTTGTGTTTGTATCAGCCAGCTATCAAGGAAACTGATGTACCTTGTGACTTTGTTATTCAATGAATTCTCATATTATACATGGACACAGATCTGTTCATCTGTTTCTTTCACAGTGTGCTCACAATACGGATACTTATATTTAAAATATTACTTGAAATATGGGGCCTCCTGAAACCATGTCAGGTCTTGATAGGCCCTCACTCTCCAATTCCCACCCTTATACTTACTACATTCTCCAGACTCATACATTTGGCAGACTTGAAAATGAAACAGCCCTAGTGGAGAGCCATGCCAGTTTGGAGTTATAGACTGGACAGTTACAGTTCAAAGGCATTTGGAAACACCACTGGTAGAACACTTCCATTTCAAAGATTAGGAAACTAAGTGTCTCCATAACTTGAAGCCATTTAGTAACAATGGGAAACCATCCAATGATGGTTAATGACACTGACTCAGCCAGGCACGGTGGCTCATGTCTGTAATCCCTGAACTCAGAAGGCTGAGGCAGGACTGTTATTATTTGTGGTAGTTCATTGCCAGCCTGAGCTACACAGTGAGTCTCAGGTCAACTTGAGCTACCATGCAAAATGCTACCTCAAGTCAGACTGAATCCCAGAGACACATCTGTATACAGGTTATAACCTCAAGCAAATTAGCCTCTAGTTTTTTTTTTTGGGAGGGAGGGGTTGTTTTTGGTTTTTTGTTATTTTTGTCTTTTTGAGACAGGGCCTCCCTTGTAGCCCTACCTAGTACCAGGCTGGCCTTGAACTCACAGAGATCCACCTGCCTCTGCCTCCTGAGAGCTGTGGTAAAGGCCAGCACCACCACACCCAGCTTAGTTTCTCCCTCTAAAGAAAGTCAAAATGGAAGCCAGGAGTGGTGGTGCAGGCCTGTAATCCCAGCACTGAAGAGGCAGAGACAGGAGGATCTCTGTGAGTTCAAGGCCAGCCTGGTCTACATAGTGAGTTCCAGGACTGATGGGGCTGCAGGGAGATCCTGTTTCAAAAAGACCAAAAACTTAGTAAGTTATAATGGGGGCTGGAGAGATGACTCAGCGATTAAGAGAAGGCAAAATATACATGCAGGCAAAACACTTACATACATTAAATAAATAAGTAAAGTTATAAAGGCCAGCTCATAATGTTCTGAGATTTAAACACAAAGCAAGGAATAACGCCTGTCCCTCCCGGCACTCTTTGCTGTTTTAAATAGCATTAGAGCCCTCTTTACACTTGCATACCGCTCCCTCTACTTTCACTTCTGCAGCACGCGAGGCTTTTTCCAGGACAGTGAAGGGCCAGGTGGCACAGCCATCAGTCCTTGAGTCAGGATCCTCGCCGTCGGCAGGCAGAGTTTTCCTCCGCAGCCTCCCTTTCTGTTCTCTTTTCCATGGCACCTCACAATCACCACAGCCTGCCCTGAAGTGCACCCAAAGACAAAATATCCAAAGAGCTTTACTACTCACCAGTCCAAGAAACCCTTTTAAAACGTCACTTCCGCCCTTCCCTGAAGCTTTCGGCATTGGAGGAAGGAGGTGGCGGAAGTGGTCCTGTGCATTTTGCTTCCGACTCGGGAGGCCTGCTGGGAGGTTGCCTTGCGGTGTTGGGTTCTGCTCTTGTAATAGTTTCACCGTCAGATGTGCGGCCGGGAGTGAGTTTCGCGGCTTCGCAAGTCTCAGGGGCTCCGGCGTGCTGAGCGGGGTGGGACTGGGGCGAAGAAGTGAGGGGCGCTTCTGAAGGGTCCCACGCTCGGCCCCCGGGGGTGCGCAGAAACCGTAATTTTGAACCCACAGCTACGCAAGCATCTGCGACTGAATTTTTCTGTTTGTGCGACGGCGGTGCTATCCTGTGAGTAGAGTGGACTGACAGCATGTATTCGTCCATTTCTCGAAGGCTTGCCGCGCTCCACGTTGGCGCGCTTTTCTTTCTTGAGAACCAGTGAACTTTCAGACTGGGGAGGTTTTTTTCTGGAACGTCACAGTGAACAATGTGTGTGCTGTTATTAGTGACTACTACGGGGAAAAGAAAATAGGGAGAGGGAGGGCCTAGGGGTAAAGTGATTTTTTTTTTTAATCGTATGAACAAAGACTTTGAAGTGCGGAAATTAATTTTACAGATGTCTTGAGGTAAACTAAGTTCCAGGCAAAGCGAACTCTAGTTCCTAGATCAGAAAGTGGAAATATGCTTGGCTTGGCCCGTTTGCAAAGGCGGTCTGGAAGCAAAGTGAGCAAAGTAGGGAACTGGGGGTGGGGAGGTTGGCTACCTGAATAGGATCTCATAACTTCCATTATTTTTATTTAAAAGATGCTATGCTAAGCTTTTGGGTTTAAATATACAGTAAAGATGAGAAGGTATGAATGGAGAAGAGAGTAAAATAAACTTTTCTTTTAGGAATAGAAATTTGTCTTTGAGCTTTGCTCTGTAAAACTTGGAGAAATTAAATAGTACTTCCAGAAACTATCAAGAAGGAAAATGGTAAGTGTTGTAGAATTCTTTTAAATGTTTTTAGTTATAAATAATTTTTAAACAGACTAGGTGCTGGATAATGTAGCTCAGTGGTGGAGTTCTT